GGGGGCCGTAGTGCGGGGGGGGAGACTTGAGTGTCCCCGGCGTGGGCGGGGGCCAGGCCCGGGGGAGGCCGGGGATGGGGAGTAGCAGCGCGGTGGGCGCCTCGCCCTCCCGGGCGGACCGGAGCTCCCGCGTCCGGGTGCTCGGTTCGGAGACGCCCATCCTGAGCTTCGCGGAGGTGAGCGGGACCGAACTGCCGCGGGAGGCCCTGCCGGGTTGGGTGTGGCCCGCACCCCCCCCCCCCCGGCCTGCAGCTGTCGAGGCCGGGTGGGATCGGGGTGGACACCCGCCGTGTCCTGTGGCGGGGAGCGCGGTGGGTGAGCGGGTGTGCGGCGATGGCCTGGTGGCGGCTGGGCTTCTGCTGGCGGCGCAGGCGTTTCTGCCCCCGGGCGGGCGGCCCCCCCCTCGGACTAGGGCGGGGGCGCGGGCTGCTCCTCCCTCCTCCTGCGAGGGGGGGGGGAGGCGTTTAACACTCAGCTGTAGGTTGGGCTCCTTGACACAGTTCCGCCATGACAAAGGGAGTCGGGGACTGGTGCGGAGGCACAAGCCTGGGCGGAGCCTGGGAAGGGAGGTGGTTGCGGATTGTGCGAACCGAAGGATTTGCGCTTGAAAGTCACGGTCTTCGGGAGATCGCTTTACCCTCACGAACGTCTTAAGTCAGTTAAGAGTTAAGTGGGTGCGGTGAGAGTCTTCCCGCAAAGTGGAGGGAGGCTGGGGAGCTCTAATTCTGTGAGAAACCGAATCCACTTCCCCTTTCTACCCTAGAGGTTGGCGAGGGAAACCTTTGTCCTGGTTTACAATGTTTAAAGTCATTTTTTCAGCAGAAGCAACATTTAGATAGGGTTCTTTAGTTCCTAGAGAGAAAATTTGTAATTTCGAGACCCAGAATGACATACTACATCATTCAGTTTAAGTTTATGCTTTTATTACTTATGTGTTTTAAAGAAGTGTTTGAGGACTTTCTGGAAAGGTAAAGATGATGCGGATACTGAGAAATCAATTCCCACCATGGGTGGCTGTGGTTCTTCTGTCCATCTTTCAATTTAGTAGTGCCTTTTAGGATATGCATTCCATTATCCCTTATATGTCATCACTATGGTTTAGCAATCATTCACTTTTCAGAAGATAAAGTCTAGGGAACTTTAGATGAAGAAGGTGAATTAAGTGGGAAGACAGGACTTGGGTGCTATACTCAAATAAGTTGTGACAGTGAAGAGACAAAAACTCAGATGACATAATGAATACTGAAGGATGCTTCCAGTGTGACATATATTTTAGTGTACAAAGATACTTAGACTCAATTCTAAGAAGCAATTTGATTGTTTTCCCCAGAAAATTATCATGTTATGATAAGCTGGCCAAGCTGGCCAGAGATCTGGTAGATTTAGGATGGGTGTGGGGGGCAATGCCATTTGTAATGCCCCTGACAAGAGTTTTAAGACTGTTAAAAGACATGAATTACATCAAACTGACATATGACTTATGATCCTGGAAGTGTGATGAGGATTTAATTGTTCTTTATGGGCATTGTTTTTACTGAAGGAAGGAAGGGGAAGGCTGCTTAAGTTTGGGTCACTTGGTGATACTGAAAACAAGGTAGTTCATTTATCCAAAAGTGCTTTGACCTTATGTCAGTTAGGATCTTCTAAACAGATAGGGTAATGCAATTTCAGCTTTGCTAAACAAATGTTAATGACTATACATATGCTATTTCAATTTTTTATTTTGATATCCTTTTGGAAGGCTACATTTTATATTCCTCATGACAACTTTGACAGGTAGTAATTTACCAGGTTTGCAATGGTAATGTAGCTGATTTAAAACAAGTATGGGTTTAAGTATGTGTGTTTTTGTGGGATTTTTTTCTAAATATTCCTTTTTTTTTTTTTTGCTCCCTGCAGAACATCCAGTCATGGATAAAAATGAGCTGGTGCAGAAGGCCAAACTGGCTGAGCAGGCTGAGCGATATGATGACATGGCAGCCTGCATGAAGTCTGTAACTGAGCAAGGAGGTGAATTATCTAATGAGGAAAGGAATCTTCTCTCAGTTGCTTACAAAAATGTTGTAGGAGCCCGTAGGTCATCTTGGAGAGTCGTTTCAAGTATTGAGCAAAAAACGGAAGGTGCTGAGAAAAAACAGCAGATGGCCCGAGAATACAGAGAGAAAATTGAGACCGAGCTAAGAGATATCTGCAATGATGTACTGGTGAGAATCGTTTGTTCTTGCTTCATAATAACATAGGGTTCTTATAACTAATATCAGTTACATCTTTTTCTGGGCTTTTCTTTTTCTTCTAAAAACCTGTAAATATAAGAGTCTTCGGGTATTACTACTTGAAGATGTTGAAACAATGGTAGGTAGTTTCTATAAAATATATGAAGGGGCTGGGAAGGTAGCTCAGTTGTAGAGTGCTTGCCTTGCATGCATGAGGCCCTGGGTTCGATTCCTCAGCACCACATAAGCAGAAAAAGCCAGTAGTAGTGAGTGCTGTGGCTCCAGTGGTAGAACACTAGCCTTGACCTGAAGAGCGGAGGGACAGCTCCCAGGCCCAGGGTTCAGCCCCCATGACTGACAAATAAATAAGTAAATAAAGCAACAATTATCAAATAGTGCGGTTTTGCTAAAAAATACCAATAGACAGTGGTATAACTAGTATTAATCAAAAAGATAAACCTGATTGTGTTAACATTGCAATAGTTAGAATTATCTGTATTATTGAGCTAAAGTTGTTATAAACATGCATACAGATGTAAGAATTTTACACATATTGCTTCATATAAGGAATGTAGTAGGAAACTGGTTGTAAAAGCTTGCCAGTTAGCCACTACAGAGTTAATGCAGTGAATTGGTTATGCGGAAAACCTTGGTTTCATAGTTGTTTCTTTTTCTTTTTTCATTGTTAGCTAACATTGACAACTAGAGTGAAAGGTTGGTTATGAATAATTCACACTTGATTTTTCCAGGTTGAAGAGGAATTTTAAGTATTTAGCACCTAGTGTTGAGGTATTGTGCTTTCCCCCAAAGATTAAAAGAAATAAACATTATGTTTTGGTTAATATTAATATTCTCTTACAAATTAAGAGCTTTTTGTTGCAGAAAGAATTCAAGTATAATCCAGTAGAAAATCTTAACCAGTTAACATCTATCTTTATAAACATGAATATTTTTCCTTTCTTAATGAACCAGGAATTTTTGTGGAATAATGTGTTGCTAAGTGATTACACTAACACTTGTAGCTGCACATTGGGTTTTGTATATTGTGGGACTCTGGTATACAAAACTGGCTGTTATTTCTCTGGACAGGGTTCTGAATCTGGAACTCAGTATGCAAGTCAAGGTGCAATATTTAACACTTGAACTTCGTTCATGGAAGAGCTAATGCAGAATTATTTCTGGGCTGGGAAGTTGGCTCAGTGGTAGAGCGCTTGCCTAGCATGCCTGAGGCCCTGGGTTCGATTCCTCAGCACCACATAAGCAAAAGAAAAAACCCGGAAGTGGCGCTGTGACTCAAGTGGTAGAGCGCTAGCCTTGAGCTGAAGAGCTGAGGGACAGTGCCCAGGCCCAGAGTTCAGGCCCCACAACCTGCCCCCCCCCCAAAAAAAAAAAATCTGACTTGGGCTGGGAAGGTGGCTCAGTGGTAGAGCGCTTGCCGCATGCCTGAGGCCCTGGGTTCAATTCCTTAGCACCACATAAGCCCCACGACCGGACCCCCTCTCCCCCCAAAAAAGAATTATTTCTGATGTGGTATATTTGTGTGTGTGTGAGAGAGAGAGAGATGCGGACTTGGGGTTTGAACTCAAGGGACTAGATGCTATTCTTGGGCTTTTTTGCTCAAGGCTAGCTTGCAGCTCCACTTCTGGACTTGTTTTGGTGATTACTTAGCCATAAGAGTCCCACAAACTTTACTTACTCAGGTCTCAGCCCCCTGAATAACTAGAATTACAGGCATAAGCCACCAGTACCTAGCTTGATGGTCGGTTTAAAGTTGTAATGATATGGATTCCACACAAGACTTTAGTAATAGGAAAAGTGATGTTGGTTTTTTATCCTAATTAAAGTGGGCTGCAAAATCTTAAATGGCATCTTTCATGTATGCATTTTGTTTGCTTTTTGAAATTTTTCTATAGCTGTAATTTCTAAGATAAATATTGTGCCTTATTGAAACTAAATGATACACCTATTGTGTTAGCTGAGACAGTTAAAATTTAAAATTTGAAAACGTTGGCTTTTTTATTTTCTTACTAGCCAATATCATCTAAGTATTTGTTAATAAATTGTTTGCCTTGATGTTTTTCCCCCAAAGTACTAATTATGTTGGTTTCGAAGAGCATATTACAAAATATAATTACCTATAAGATAAAAATCAATTTTAGGAATAAAAGGGGTTTTGGTAACATTTACCTTCCGCTGACAAGTTTATTTGCAATGTCAGGTAGGTATTTGCCTGTGTATACTCACACAGAGTATACAAAAAGTACCTATTTGTTAAAATTTCCTAGGAAAAAGTTTTAATTCTATCTTTCCCTGGTTTTCCAATCAGATGAAGAAGATGAGAACTGTTAGATGAATCTTTCAATCATCTTTTAAGATTATCAAGGGTCTCTATACTTGTTACTGCCTGTTTCTCTTCATTTTGTCTTTTTGCAAGTTTGAGTGAAAGTTTTGTTTGAAGATTTTGTTCCTTTGCTATATAAGTGGCTTTTCTTTCCAGCTTAGGTCTTTCCAAGAGCAAGTCTGACCTTTTCATGGTTCTAATGTTGTATATGCTAAGTATTTTACGTAATATAATTAGCTCAGTAGTACTACTGATTTTCCAAGGCTTTCAACTTGAGAAAACTCAAATGTTTATATAGCTTGATATTATATATATGGCTTCCCTACCATGTTTTTCAGAGATACTGACTTGGAAATATCTTGCATGAAATTCCTTTTCCTCTTTCTAGTAAAATTCAGCAGAACTAATAATTGTTACATTTAAAAAAAAAAAAAAAAACTTCTTGCCTGGTGCTGGTGGCTCACACCTTTAATCCTAGCTACTCAGGAGGCTGGGATTGTAGTTCAAAGCCAGCCTGGGCAGGAAAGTTCATGAGACTCTTATGTCTAATAAACCACTCAGAAAACCGGAAGTGGTGCTGTGGCTCAAGTGGTAGAGCACTAGCCTTGAGCTGAAGAGCTGAGCGACAGCGCCCAGGCGAGAGTTCAAGCCCCATAACTGACAAAAAAAAACTTATTGAGCCATCGTACTTGATGACTAATTTTTAGAGGAAATAGGTAATTCTTTTGCAGAACTAGTTGTTGACTGTAGCATTGGTGATGAACCAAACACTAATCGTTGCATTATCCTTGCTGAGAAAAATATTTCTTTTTAAAAAGCAGCATAATTGCTAGAATTCTTAGTTTTCCTTATAAGCTCTTCTGATTATATTTATCAAGTGTTTGTTTTTTGCCATTTAAGAAGCAGACAAAAAGGGGCATTGTTACTTTATAGGTGTTAGAGAACATTATTATGAGAATACTGATGGCTGCATACTCTTCACAATATGAACTTTTCCTTATGCAAAAGGACTTGAGACTCTTTGTTAATTGAAATTATGTATAAAACGAATACAGTTGTATCTTTCCTGCCAGGTGCTTAGACCAAATTTACTAACTGTAGTGATACCTAAAAGTTATACATGGATCCAAAACATGTAGCCAAGAAATGAAATGAAAATCAAAATGAGGGAATATATAGGAGAAAACTGAAAATTAACTTAAATAAGTGCACTGTGGTATAAAAAGAACTCAACATTTTGAGACAAACCACAGTTTGAAATTACTCAATTCCTCTGAGAAAACTGATTTCATTTAAATAAAAATGATACCCATACCCCTAATGTTGAGGAAAATGAGAATCAGATAAAAGGTACCTTGTGTGCTGTTGATGTGTTTTAAAAGAAATTATGAGCCTGCCAGAATTCTAAGAGTATGTGTGTTTGTGTTTCAGTGAGGCAGAATTCATACCATCAGATTTTCAGATGTTTTCGTTGAATTTGAAAACCATGTCTGTCTAATAAAGCAAAGAAAGAATGGTTTCCTTTCCTTATAGGGGCCTCAGACAGGAAGCAGTAAAATTATGTATTTAACATTTGTAATAGTTGATAGCAGTAGTTGAGCAATCAACTACTGTAATCATGATTCGGTTAACTTAACCAAGTTGTATTTGATTATGCTGGTCTCCATTTTATTTGCCTGGAACAGTTTTAAGATGTGGTTCCTGGGCACTAATTTTAATCTCCGGCCCACAGAGCTGCTATTAAGCAGAAACAGGAGCAAGACAGGAAAGCATGCATCTTTTGGGTCTTTGTTAGTTTTGACATTCTTATCAATATGTTCCTTGAGCTTTTAAAAACTGCAATATAGAATTAATTTTTAGGCTGACAAATTGCTAGGCAACTCATTTATTGGAATAGGGACTTCTTCAAAGAATTCTGTGTTGAAAAGGGATGACAGTGGTCAAGATGCATTGTATTGATAAACAGCTTTGTTAAATGGCAACTCTTGTACAACTACTTTTTTAATGGTGGGGGGAAAGTATTCTGCAGTGCCAGATAAATATTTACATGTTTTTGTCATTTATGGCTTTTGATATGTCATTAACACCCAAGAACTTAGGTGGCATTAGTAAATAGCTACAGAGCCTTCTAGAAATGAGTAAGCTGGACATTTTTTTTTAACACACTAGTAGTCATTTTAAGTATTAAGTGTTAAACATTAAGCATTCAGTGAGGTATGTTACACAGTGGGGAGGTCTGAGGTATATGAAGTAAGCTGAATGGAAAGATAGGAGTTTCTTGTTTGGCTGGATGGAGAATAACCGCCAGTAACTTGATCAAGAGCAGCAGGTTGGTTACCTATCGTTTTTCAGTAAGCAATACTTAAATAAGAACAGAGTCCTAGATAGGACTTTAGTAAGAGATGGTTGACATGAAGATGTTTTGTGATGAAGTGAGTTGTGAAAATAAGAGTGAACTAAGGAAAAGATGAAAGGACTGAAATTAAAATGAAACACTTGAGGAAAGGCTCAAAAGTATAAGAAGAACATAAATACTTAGGAAATAATGTTTAATCTGTCCAAGAGAAGAAAATCTTTCAGTCCTTGATTACATAGTTGAAATAAGAGTGAAGAATAATAAACTATTTTAGGGTTATTAATAACTTTGAAT